TCACATGCCAAATCTAGCTGAGGTGGCTCAACATATAGCGCTTTTAAAAACGGAAACTGAAATAACCAGAGAGCATCAGCTGCGGCAATCTCATACTATTAAGCTAGGCAGAAGTGAGTAGTCTTTGTCGATAGATCTCTATTTTAGTATTTTGTCGAAAGCGCTTTTTTTCACGAATTTATATGTTACGAATTCATTTGACGATATTTGATTTATATCACGAAGATATTTGTTTTATTATTGTTATTAGCTATTCATTGAAAAATGAGTCTCAGTCGTGCTGTTACGCTTAAAGATTTTTTTATACTATAGCACATTTCTAATAGGTTTAACGAATTACATGTCATTTATTTGTTTCTACCTGAGTTAGTAGCGAGCGAAGCGAGCTTGGTTTGCGAAGCAAACCATATAAGATTGCGTAGCAATTTTCGGGGGTTTGCGAGCGTTAGCGAGCAGGGGGCGCAGCCTACTAGTTTTATATAATACTGTGAATTTTATATTCTTAATCTTGTATGTCATTGTAATACAATTAGAACATTATTTAAAATACAAGAAAGAAAATTTCCTCTATGTTCAATGCTTGAAAATATTTTAAAAAGAGATTTCGTGTTTTTGTAAAAAAAAAAGAAAAGAAAAATTGGATAAATATGAAATCGGAAAATCTTTCATTTCAGTTAAGACACAATCCTTTTTCACTTTAATAAAGAAATGTTTAAAAACAATTATACGAGAATTTATCTGAAATAATCCTATTCATTATGACATTAACCACTTTAAGAGGTGAAAAAAACTTGTGAAATCCAATTTAATTTATTAATATTTTAAATAAGGTCAAAGATCTTTTGTGTGATCGTTGGAAACAAGAAATAAAACAGAAAAAAAGAATCTTCATTTTTCTTCTTTAACAAAATTGAAAAATAAAGGAGTCATTGTCGCCAAGTTTCCAGACATAAAGTATTGAAATGGGTACATTGACCATGGAGATCACGGATTGTTCTTTTTTTTCTTGTTTATCTTCAATTCTTAGAAAGTTCTTGATAAAAAAAATAAAAATAAAAACTTTTTTATGTTACTGCAGTGACTGTCCTAACGTGAGAGTTTCCTGAAATTTTAATAAAAAATACATGGAGTGGAAAACTCGTGAATTTTTTTAATGAGATTCAAATAATTTTATAAATTAATGATATAAAATAGTTATAATAAATATCACTAATCATAAGTTTTTTTCAATAAATATCAATCGTAAAATAATTTTATATCATGATGATCAGCTATTTTTAAATGACTTAATAATTTGGAAATAGTTAATTTTTTCAAATTAATGCAGTCTTCAAAATAATATCTTAAAATAAGAGCTGACTTTTGTATGGAAAATATATATATTACGAATTCTCTGAAAAAGACAATGATACTTTTCATTGTATGTAATTTTATTAGAGTTTACTTTTTTGAAAAAGTATTTTTTCTTTAAGTTTAATGCAAATCAAATAAGCTAGAGAGCATACTAACTTATAAATTTCAGCGTTTAGAAATACAATGGTTTTAAATATTGTTTTAATGGTCTTAAATTCGTAAAATGTATCACAAACTAAGAATATGGTAAACATACAAAAAACAAGAATCAAAGTTTGTAAAAGTGGAGACAATATACCTGAATTTAAAAACTGGGTTGAATAATGAGCAACGTATTTTTGGTTGTTCTGCGAACAAAATGAAATTTTGACTACATTATTTTAGCATTATTAACACTAAAATATACCTTTAAATTGTTATGTTACCTGCTCAAACTAATAAGCATATTAAGAACAAAAATATAGAATAGTTTGTTAGGATCAACTGTTAACTGTTGCCTTTTAACTTTTTATGTTTTATTTTTGTTTAAATTCAACTCAGTTTGTCTCAGTTTTTCTTTTCCAACATGAGAAAAGTAACATCTCTTACAGCTTTAACATCTCTATTGACAAAAAATAAATAATTTGAAAAAGTGTAGTTACATATAATTACAACAGTTATAATTNTTGTAATTTTATTAGAGTTTATTTTTTTGAAAAAGCATTTTTTCTTTAAGTTTACTGCAAATCAAACAAGCTAGGGTGCATACTAACTTATAAATTTCAGCGTTTAGAAATACAATGGTTTTAAATATTGGTTTAATGGTTTTAAATTCGTAAAATGTATCACAGCTAAGAATATAGTAAACATACAAGAAACAAGAATAAAAGTATTCAAAAGTGGAGACTATATACCTGAATTTAAAAACTGGGTTGAATAATGAGCAAAATATTTTTGGTTATTCTGCGAACAAAATGAAATTTTGACTACATTATTTTAGCATTATTAACACTAAAATATACCTTTAAATTGTTATGTTACCTGCTCAAACTAATAAGCATATTAAGAACAAAAATATAGAATAGTTTGTTAGGATCAACTGTTAACTGTTGCCTTTTAACTTTTTATGTTTTATTTTTGTTTAAATTCAACTCAGTTTGTCTCAGTTTTTCTTTTCCAACATGAGAAAAGTAACATCTCTTACAGCTTTAACATCTCTATTGACAAAAAATAAATAATTTGAAAAAGTGTAGTTACATATAATTACAACAGTTATAATTTGCTAACCCAAACTACTGTCTTATTAGTAACCAGTTTTTGTAAAATTAACCAATCAAATATGAAATGATTAAAACGTCTCACATTGCTTTTTCATTACATGCAATGACAAATGATAAACCGTCCAAGTGAAAAGTATGATTATTTCACATTTAATTATTATGATTAAGTATTAATTGAAAGTAATTTTTAAGGGAAAAGTGAGTTGATATTTTACTTTTTTTATAAGAAGGGCATACATTTTTAATTTTCACAACACTGAATTTTTTCTAAAGTAAAAGGCTTATGCTCGATAAATGCTTATGAAGCATTCCCTACACTGATTTTTATATAAATTTAAAGGTCACTATCCAACATGTCCTGCTCTTATATTTTTCCTAATAAGAAATTGTTAATAACATTTGAATAAGTTAAAGTTAAATAGTAAAAATTCGAGAATTTCATAAAGTAAAATCTGAGTTTTATAAAAAAAATAATTGTTTAAAAGATTAATATAATAATAAGTTTTTTCTTCAGATAAGTAGTATTTTTTAAAATAAAGCATAGAATGTATTATAAATTGTTCTTGCTACGTGATTCTATGATTTCATACTTCGCAACCGTAAGTTCATTACAGTATACGAACTTTTACACCATTTTAATTAACAAAGATTTAAATAGCAAAATTAAGAATTTGATAGAAATCGGTTAAATAATTTCTGAGAAAAAAAATTGACTGCTTTGAGATGGCGAACTACGCAAAAAATAGGAGTTAGCCATACAAGATCCAAAATTTCAACCACTTTTCTACCAAAACTTTTAAGACCATATTTTTCCGACTATGACAACCACCCCCTATTTATTATTTTAAGGGACAAGAATTCAAAACGGTCTAAAAAATATATGCTTATTCAGAGAAAATGTGCACCTTTGTTTGATTTTCTGTTTTAAAATTCCGTCCTCACTAATTCATTAGCATATTGAAAGTTAGCCTAAAAAGCATATTGAAAGTAGTAAATGGCTTATTGCTTCCTGTTTTTTTTCTCATTGAAAATATATTCGCATATATTTTTCTTCAACTATTTAAAAAAATTTTATTGCAAAATAAATAATAAATAAATAAAAAAATATGATACTTAAAAACGGTAAAGCTAAATACAAAATATCTTTTCCAACTTTTTCAATTACATTTATATAAATTTAAAGAAAAAAATAATCTCAATCCGTGTAACTTTATCATACAAAACATTTCTCGTCATTAAGAAAAGCTGAATAGAAAACATTGATACAATCTATTAGAAACCATAGAAACGTTCTAAAATGGAATGTTTAAGGAATTGGTTTTGCAAAGAATAATAAATTATGCTTTCAAGGAATGCGAATCCGTTTCACGAAAATACATTCTAGCAATACTATAAAACAAAGGCTTCGGAGGATAAAAAAAGGAAATTTAATATATCCAAACCAACATCCAATAAATCGAGTCAAGATTTAATCAAGATTTTCTTCAATATTGAACAAAAACAAAGTATTTGCCTGCTTCTGTGATAGAATGTTGAGATATGCCCCGTTTCCGAAAAATTAAAGGAAATTTCCGATTCAATTAATTATAGAACCGGAAAGATAAGTGGTTATAAAAGTTTTCTGAGGAAATTAGCAATAAATCAACAATTTATCTCCGTATAATTGAATTTAAAATGTTTTCACGATTATTCCTTATGATAAAAAGAGGCTTAAGAGTCTTGTTTTAAAGAATGCTATTAGCTAAAGTTTTGTAACTTAAGTTACGATACACGATGCTGATTTTCTTTTTAATGTTAAAATAAAATTAAAGTTTAGTTCATAGCTGATACTGCACGAGCCTTTTTTATGAAGAATGAATTTTAATTGAATAAATGAGCAAATTCGAAAAAAATAGTAGGTTTGTTTATTAATTTTGATTTAATTATAATTAGTTTTTTGCAATTAACGATTTTTAACAATTTTAAATGAATACGTAAGATGTATTATAAAGGATTAAATCATGCTTTTCTACTACAAGGAGTTTTGTAACTCAAGTTACGATACACGAAGCTGATTTTCTTTTTAATGTTAAAATAAAATTAAAGTTTAGTTAAATCATGCTTTTCTACTTCAAGGAGTTTTGTAACTTAAATTACGATACACGAAGCTGATTTTCTTTTTAATGTTAAAATAAAATTAAAGTTTAGTTCGTAGCTAATACTGTACGAGCCTTTTTTATGAAGAATGAATTTTAATTGAATAAATGAGTAAATTCGAAAAAAATAGTAGGTTTGCTTATTAATTTTGATTTAATTATATAATTAGTTTCTTGCAACTAACGATTTTTACAATTTTAAATGAATACGTAAAATGTATTATAAAGGATTAAATCATGCTTTTCTACTTCAAGAAAAATGCTAAGTGATTACTTATATGAGATTTTAATTTCCAATGCACATCTGGTGAATGACCTTTCGTCAATACATGCATCTGAAGGGCTGTGGACAGCCTAAACGAAAGGCTAAGAACCCACACGGATACAATACACACGTGTTTTCATTTCATAGATACAATTTGTAAAGGGCCGTTGTGGTGTAGGGGATAAAGTGTGAGCCTTCCAATGAGGGGAACCGGGTTCGAATCCCATCAATGGCTGGTCGATGTGAATTCTACATCCGGCTTGCACCGACCACAGCTGACGAAAAATATTCTCAGTGGTAAGGGTTACAAGAGTTGGTAGCTTTGTAATTTTAAGCCCAATCCGGAAGACAAGAAACTCCTGGAACACGCATTAGGAAAATTTAAGTTCTTAAACTCTAACAGCGAGAGAAACGCCTCTCAATGTCACACAAATGCGGGTTAGTTCCCACAAAAAATCCTCCACGAATGCAAATTTCTCCCAATACTTGGACTAGGAGTTCCCTTGTCTTCTGGATTGCCTTCTAAATTACAAGGCTATGGAGCAGTAGTCGTAACATTGGTAGTCGTTCGTAAACTCAAATATTGGGTAGGCTGTTCAACGACGATTATAAAATAAAATATAATTTATAAAATACTATTAACAATATGTAAATTCTCTTATTCTTTATTCACTTACTGGAATCTTCTTTAGGTTTTGGTGCAGCTAATACTGTTTCCAGACAAAGTTCAAAAGCTTCAGCAGTCTGAATATCAGAGTAGGGCGTTTTTTCTAAAGTTGTCAGTTCTTGAATAACTTGAAAAAGAAGGTCAGGATCTCCAGACTGCACACATAAAAAATAAATATACATTAATGAAATGATTTAAATAAAAAAGGAATAGTTTAAGTAATAGTTTTTCCCTTAAAGGATCTGTTGATTTCGCATTTAAAAGGTTTGATTGTTTATTTAAATATAATTGAAATATGCTAATTTTTGTGGCTTTGGATCTTTGAAAAAGAATTTGCTAATTACAATCACCAATTACCATCTAACTATAATCAGGTGACCCTTTCACGCAAATGGGACATCGATGTCTCTTTTATATATATTTTTCTGACGCTCTAAGTAGAAGCAAAATTATATTTTGTTGCTTTTTAATTATAAAAAATCAGTTTAAAAGTTAATGAAAAAATCTTTAAAACTATCAGAATTATCTTTGTACTAAAATATAAAATTCAAAGAAAGTAGTTTGAAATCTCTTTTTTATTCATATTCAAAAACTTATCAATAATATATTTTGTAAATTAAAGAACATTTAATAATGAATACCTGTTTCTTTTAGAATTAAATATCTGCAATTTAGTTCAAATTTTAAAAGTAATTTTTAGGAAGTGAGCAGTGTTTGGAAGATCTTACCTTTAACGCAGAAAAAAACCGGTATTTCAAAGCCATAAATTATAAAATGGTAAGCATATTATTTTTTAAAAATTATTTTGACCTAAATTAATACAAAATAATGCAAAAGTATGGTATGAATAATATATTTAATAAAAATTCTACATCAAAGAGTTAATCAGTTGTCAGTCACCAATAGCAATGCATTATACCAACATTTTTAAAACTAGGTTTTTTAACTTGACGTGATTTATATTTTATAAGGTATTACTCCGAGTGTATATTTCATACAGAGGTAATTTTTTCCAAAACTTAAAATTCTTCGGTGAACTTTATATGGACACAGCTGAAAATGTGTATTTAAGAAAACTGAAAGAAAGAAACTTAGAAAATAACACGGCTACAAAATCCGAGTTTGAAAATGGACACATGAATGGACACAGCAGAAAACGCGCTTTTTCAATGTAACAACTAAAAGCGAAATTACGTAAATACTTTTTTTTGCTTTAAAAAATAAAATAAAATAAACAAAACTAAGCATAATCATTACGGGTCAAAGTCTCAGATTTCGGATTGTGGTGAATAGGCATATTACATACGTGACTTTTAGACTTTCAGAAAACTAAAAGACAAAGTAATTTTACAAAATCTAAATTCGTACAATGCCATTTTAATAACAACAATTATAAATTACAGGACCCTGGAAAATCTTTTGAAAAGAACTATTGACTTTTCAAAACAGACTCATTTAAAATAATGTACGAAATGGTTGACGACATCACTTTACGAATTTATTTATAAAGTGATGTTGATGCTTCAAAGCTGATTTATTTATAAATTGAAGTTACTTATAAAGTGGTGGGACTAATAAAATCACGACATTAACATTAACCTTTAAGCAAAACGTGAAGGTTGTCGGATGATTGTTTAAACAAAAAGATACTTAGATGTACAGTCCGCAAAAAAAAGATATAACCCTGAATAGAATCACCCCAGAGGTTTAATTTGTTATGGGAAAATGGGGGACTTTGTGACCCACCAGATTTAACGTGCACCAGTCACCATTTACTACAGGGAGTCTTCGGTCAGCTGGATTCGAATTCCCGTTTTACGAACAGGTGTCCAGCACCCTACCAGCCAGATTATCTCGGCCCTATGAAAACTTTTAATCAGGTTATTTTTAATTACATCATATCAAATTTTAAGCCAATTTAACAGAGAAATAATTTTTATAAGATTTGTGCAGGGTGTTTTTTAAATTCAAATATTAAATTCAAAAATAAACGTTGGAGCTTAAACAGGTAATTTCTGTAATTTCTCACTTAAAAATAAACACTAAACGAAAATTTTGACTTATAAATAGCATAGAGACAACAGAACTCGATCTTTAACTGTAATATGAAATCCAGTATTAATAAAAAGTCATTTTTTATGGAATTAACAAGACCGCTAGGTTTGGAAAAGTTTGCAAATCCTAAATGAATAAAAAAACTTGTTTATATTAAATCGTCTTACTCTCAAATAAATAAGGAATATTATAAGGATAAAAATAATGTGAAAAAAATATACTGCAGCTTCTGACATAAAGCTTTAGTAAAAATTTAAAGTACTAAAAAACTTAATTTTTGTAAGATTAATAATCTGAAATTTAATTTATCATTGTTGTCGCTTAAAAGGTTTCTTGCGTAACAAAATTAATAGATTTTGTTAGTAAAAAAAAAAAGAAAGTTATGAAAGTAGGGTAAAAATTAATTTCTTTTCCCTCAACTTTTTCAATCTTTTTTTCTTACTTTAAAGATAAAGCATGTATCATAAAAGCATTCCTCAAAAGCCTAATATCTCTCTTAATCTTAATTTAGCACTAGTATCTAATTATAACATATAACCGTATATTAATTAATATTGATATAACATTGGCTTTTGATACCGTCTGTGCTAACACATAATTGAATGTTAAAAACAATGATAAATTTATAAAAAGACTTCTTACAATGTTCCTAAAATATGAATTAGAGTAAGATCATTTGCAAAAATTGAAAATGAAACTTAAGAAAAATAAATTTGATAAAATTCATTAACCCAATTTAGACCCATAGAGATTTTACAAGAAGTGGTATTATTTACTTTGAAGTATGCTTAGATTTAAATCTTTAAGATTAAAAAAAAAATCATACATTGAAATTAATACGTAATTGAAAAATAATAAAATCGTGCGTACATGCACCTTTGGGTAAACCAATGGACAAATAATTTAGTTGAGCATTAGTTTCTTGTGACATTTATTTTATTTTTATCTTATTTACAAAACTTGCAACTTCAATTCATCATAAGAATATATGATTAATCTCAAATAGAGTAATTATACATTTTCAAAAAATTGAGTTTCGTCAATAATCGTTTCAAGTTGAAAAAATTTAGTTAAGTTAAAAAATTTCTCATAAGAAAGTGCCTACACAAATTGAATTATTTACATTTTATAGATATCTTTGAGACTCTTGACAATTGCAGATAAATGTAATTAGTTAAAAATTTAAGTCACAGCGTTAATAAAAATTTATTTATTAAAATAGTGCGTTTATTCACCCTTAACCGTAAATGGGTTAATTTGATAACTAAAAAAGAAAAAAAAACTATTTTATTCATAATTAGGTTCTTCAGTAAAAATAGATAAAAAAATGATAAAAAAAAGAATAGAAATAAATCTAATGAGATTCTTCGTTAATTTGGTATTCTAAACAAAATAAAGTCACTTAGTTTCATATTCAATGCTAAGTGATCAAAAGTTTTAATAAATAAATTTAAAGAAAAAAGTAGAAAAAGCTTCATTTTTAAAAGCAATTTTTTTATTGGCTATTTTCAGTTAAATAAGTTGTTTTCGAAACCAAACAATAAAGAATAATATAATAACAATGTTTTGTATTTTCATTAGATTTATTAGAAAATCATACTCAAACTGAAAAAATAAAGGAATCTGTCAGTTTATTTTTGTTTTTCTAGATTTTTCAAAATCAAATTACTCAAGGCGTCGATTTTAAAAACATGTTTGTAATTTAATTTATTTTTATAACTGTAATCTATCGTTGGAGAAAGAAAGAATAAAAAAAAATTCTTAACAGAAGTGGACTTTAATTGAAATGCAGGGTGGATTTAAACATTTGTTTTATCAATGCATCGAAAAGAATAATTAGCTCAGAAATGTGATAGTTTTTTTAATTCGTTTCTATTAAAAATATATTTGTTATAAATATTTATAAAAATATTAAAATTTTTCTACGAGGTTTGATTTAGCTTAAAGAAGTAGTAATTATGAGACTAATTGTCGATGTCATTTATATCATGAAATACTGTAATATAAGAAAAGCACAATCATTTTAAAAACACTTTAGTGTACTATTTTTTTATAAAATTAATTTAAATAAATCCTTGCATCTTTCATTTTTTATAACATAATGCTTTATGATATATTTTAAACAGTGGATACAATTAACGTTAAAAAAAGGAATATAAAATTAGTGAATTACTATTGTCAAGGAAGAATAATTTATTTTATTCTTTGCAATTTGTACAAACTAAATTAAAGAAAAGAATTTTGATATTTTATTTGTTAAAAGCATTTATGTAAAATAAAATATGGTGTTTAAACATGTAAAAATCTTTATTTAATTATAAAAATATAAATTAATGTTCAACAACACTTTAACAATGCAATTGAAGTTAAAAGGAAGCAATTATAGTCGAGAAGGAATGATATATTTAACTCGTCGTAATTTTTTATGCACCAAATAACAGGAAATAGTTTTTATATCTTATTTGTTTTTGAGCGTATTTATGTAAATTTTAAAATTTATTGTGCTTGAAAATGAATTAAATCAATATTTATTATATGAATTAATAAATAAACAATATTTAACAATACTTTAATTTTGAAATTATTGTTCAAAGGGAAGTTTGTTCAGAGGAAGTATTGAATTACTATAGTCAAGAATGAATAATTTTATTTTTTATTTCTTTGAAATTGTATGAACTAAGTTAAATATTTTTTTCCTTTGTTTTTTTTTATCGCATTTATGTAAATTACGAAAAATAGTGTGTTTGAATGCATAAAATATTTAAATAAATAATGCTTCATAAAATTAAAAGCATGTTCAGTTAAAAATTTTAGAAAAAAAGCCATTGAAATCAAGGAAAATCATATTAAAAACTATTATAATTATTATTTATATCTGATCAGTTATAGTTGATAGTTAATAATCTAAAATAATTCTAAATAAAAAAATGCTGGTAAAATGTGTTTATGGTAACAATTTAAATACAAATAAAAATTGTTTAAGATGATAAATTACAGCTAAATAAAATGTATATGCAATGATCACGAAATAAAAATAAATAAATATGTAACTTGATTTTTCATTGATTTACGCATTAAACGATTTTGATACTTTTTTTTATACGTTTGTTATTGTTCTTTCGAATGCTACATGCCAATACCAGCCAGGCATCTGGGTGAAAGCAAGTTCTCAGTGTCTCTTGTTTTTCAGTGGCGCCATCTATGGCCAAGAATAAGAATTCAAGCTCACTCACGTCACAGCCCGTCTAAGCCGGGCCCATTCATACATCCATTCACTCATCCGCAGATCAAAATTTTAAGACGACGCAGAGAACGATGAACTCCCAGATGTATGATTTGTTATGGAAAAATGGAGAAATTTGTGATTCGACAGATTTAACGTGCATTTACTACCCGGACAGTCTTCAGCTGGCAGGGATCGAACTCACGACCCCTTGAACATGGGCCTAATGCCCTACCAACCAGACTATTTTGTCTTTTATACATTTTATCCACGCAAACAATTATTCAACCAAGCTGTTGTTATAAGTCTAAAGACGGTATTTTTTTAATATTTAATGAATAAAGACACCATTTGGAAAAATATGTTATAAATCAATGATGCCATAATTGTGTTACTGGTTTGTTGTTTAAAAACCCCATTAAAAATACATTAATTTGGGTGTTTTAGGTACAAATGCGCAATAAATATATATAAAAAAATATTTTGAAATAAAAATATTTTCAGAAAAAAATTCATAGGGCACAAGAGGAAAAAATATGCAGCCAAAGTAAATATTAAAAAAATCAAAAGTTAACTTCTTGGATATGAGAAACGAGATTGAATAGGATATCCAAGTTTTCAGAAAACTTTTTTTCGCAACTCAGGTAAGCCTGTTAGTGCTGAATTCATATTTTCCAGTGCAATAGATAAGAAATCTTGGCTATCTTTAGCTTCACTGATATTGTATTCATGCACGAGCAGTGTTACATATTTAGTTTTGTTTGTTCTGTAAAACTTTTTTTCAATACCCCAAAGCTTGATTTCGTCCACTAAAAACTTTTATTATTTATTACCAAGATTCTATTTGATTTATTTATTACATTCATTAACGGTAATTAACTTTCCGTTTTAACGCAACAAGACTAACAAAAAAGAAAAAAAATAAAGCATATAAATACGAAGAAATATGGAAAAAAAAATATAGATTTTTAAAAAAAAGAAATGACGAAAAACTAATAATAAATTGAAACCTCGCGTTACGGACACTCCAAGAAAATGGACACATCTCATTACCTGCATGTATTTATATGTCCCCATTAATCTTCTATAAATAAAGTATTATGTACCGTAAAGCGGACACTCCCGTAACCAGACAGGAACAGTCCTTTATGCCCTAAAACGTTTTTTTTATCCTTTCAAACCAAACACCATTTTTTTTAAATTTGAAAAAAAAATATTTAAGTTTTAAACTCTTAGAAAACAATACAATGTTAACCGTTTGCCTTATCCACCATTAAAAATAATGTTAAGCTATTTCACTGCCAAAGAATCAATCATTCTCCTGTCACCTTATTTTATCTTTGCAAAGAAAGGAGAGAATATGATACTGCTCAAGTGAAATACTTCACACGGTGGCATCTTTTGACCTTTACATCCGGACTGTACTGGTTATGAGATCCTACAAGCTGAAATAATGCCTTACATGCTCTCAATTTCTCTTCCCTACTTAAAATTCGTTTCTACTTCGAATAAATTTCGAGACCGTATTTAACACAAATCTGGGTAAAAAAAAAAAAAGAACTGACATCTAGTCATTGACATTTAACTAAAGATTAATGTAAATATAATAACTCAGCGTCATGCCTTACATTGCATTGCTGCTTTATTTTTTCTGTGCATCGTAGGAGGTTTACCTTCAATGAGATATTATCACGTTTCCTATCAAGTGATTGTGGTGCAAACCTACTAATTAAACAGAGCAAATGACATAGAACTAAAACTTTTATTCGGTATCATGTGACTAACTTGAATGTCTGTGTAAAAATCAGAAAAACACATTCATTTCTCTGTATCTACATCTAAAATTATGTATCAAAATTATCAAACTTTTTCATATACTCTTTCTATAGTAAAAAAAAATATTTTTTGAAGTTTTAATAAATATCATTGTGAATAGTTATTATAGATTGTTTAAATATTTCTATATCATTGTAATTATTCTGAAAGCAATTTACGGCGTTAAACTTCGTTATTTGTTATTAGTCGTTATTACGTTACCTTCGTTATTACTTTTCACGTAAGCAGACATTCTTTCGTTCCAAACAGTGTCCGTTTAACCGATGTTTTGTATTTAAAAAAAATTAACATTAAAAAGCTGGAAAATAAAATAAGGAAAAGATATAATCTCGTCATCATCTTACACGAATATATCCGCAAAAAATGCTCCCTAATATTGTATATAGCTATAGCAAAATATATCAATACAATAGTGTGAGGAGCATCAACAAATTAAAACAAGCATTAAACATTTTCAGTAAAAATTCAAAATAAAACCTATCAAGCAAAAAATAAAATTAAAATTCAAGATACGGAATAAATAATAAATTTGCCAGGTACAAAAAAATGAAAGAATTAAAGGGTAGAGGTATTATTTTATGACGCGTTATTATTGAAGTACAAAAGAGTGTTTGATTTGTTAATTACCTTGGGTTGACCCAAAACTAGATATGTGCTAAGTAATATTATACTGGATAATTCAAAATCTATAATTAAAAAAAAGGGTAGAATTTTAATTATAAAATTTTAATAGTGATGATTTCAGAGAAATTATTAACATTTATTAAAAAAAACATTATTATTATTAAATATTAGAATATTTTTAGACACGGATTCGCCCGAATTGGATTTGCACTTTTGTTAACAAAGAAAATTTTAATACATTTATTAAAAATTATAACAGTAAATTAAATCAATGATTTTATATGGAGCTCAATTACATGAGTTTGATATCCATTGTTATAATCAAATTTTGGAAGAGTTAAAAAAAATAATAATAAGAGTTTAAAAAAAACTTATTATTATTTTTTTTAACTTTCTTCGTTAATTTCTCTTTTTTTTCAATTATTTATTGTGTGTGTATATATGTATGTTAAAACATAAATACATATAACATCATTTAATTTTCAGGTAAGAACTTAAGTAAGCTGACTCTGAATTTAGCCATCAGATGGCGCTGTCAAGAGTTTCATCGAGTATGTTATAAACACTTAACTATAATTCGAAAACAAAAAAATTTAGGTGCATGGCGTATTAGAGAACAACTTGTGTAAAATGTGATATTATTTTGGTTGTTTCATATTTGGTTACAAAAACTTAATATTTCACTAGTATTTTAGACCTTTGAAATGTCTTTAACGTTACAATTTTTTTCGTATTTTATTTCTTAATTTTATGACAAAAACAAACTAATAACACTTATTAGTTTGTAATAATTTCATAGTGTTTAATAAAAATAACTCTAAACGAAAAGAACATTGCGAAGATCTTATATAGGTTCATTCTAACATATAAAAACAAAACACATATTTCGGTTATTGATTTTGAAACATGATTTTGAAGCACCCGGTAAAACCTTAATTCCTAGGACAGAGAAAAAAAATTGAGAAAATACTGTGCAGTACTCAATATTAAAAAAAATTCATACAATTAAGAATTATGTCATTAATAATCGGGTATTGAGCTTTAAAAATAATTTAAGGATTATATCGAATGAGTTCAATTATTCGAACTTCTTGGTTTAACTATTTGATTATTCGACAGATGGTACGGCAGTTATTTACGTTCCGAGACGTCACCTTGTGGAAAACTATACCTAAAATCTGTTCATGTTTCCTACGTTCTATTATAAATCTTCCTATGCATTTATTTACTAAATATAGAATAGTCTAAAACGTTGTTGTTGACTTTTTACATGCATGTAATACTATTCAAGGCTGAGAACAGCCTGAATTAGTACGCTAGGTAGTGCAGTGAATAATTTCCATGTGCTTGACCACTGCTACAATGTCAATTTCTTTTTTCTTTTAAATAAAAGTGGTTGTGACATTTATTTGATGCACGAGAAAGGGGCAGTCTACAAATGACGTCACGCTTAGAAGGGAAGGAAGTGGTGATGATAGTGTGCCAGTCTAGGACTAGGTAGTCTATAGGTTGAAAGAAGAGGTAATAAAGAGTGCAAAAATAATACCTATTTCAGTCGAAATAAAAATAATTGAAATTTGCTGAATACTTTAATTTTGTTCTTTTATATATATATATATA